AACCTGATCTAGTTGAAGATGTCCCTGCCCACGGCAGGGGGGTTGGACTAGATGGCCTTTAGAGGTTCCTTCCAACCCAAACTATTCTGTGATTCTATGAAATGCAACTGAAACTCCCCAGATGAACACGCACATTTGGTGATAGCTAGAACTGGTTGGCTGATACTCAGCAGGCCGAGCCATGGAAGTTTTATGCGCTTAGGAAGCTGGCTTGTTTCAGCTAACCATTCAAATAAGTTCTCCTTGGCTATTACTCACCCAGAGACTCCTGTCTGTCTAGGCACCCACGCAGCATCTGGGCAGCAGTCCTGCTGGGTCTTCACTCTGTGCTATGTGCGCCGCCTGAGAGACAGAGGAGCTACCGTTTTTTGGCCACAACCCTACCCTGTGCTGCCATTCCTATTGGCAAGGAACAAGCCAGCAGTGTGGGTGGGAGGCAGCTAATGAAGAGGTGCCTTGTGCGCTCAAAGGCAGGGCTACCTTCACCCACTAAGACTCGTGGAAGCAGCACGCGTAACAGCCGCTGGTGTATTCCTGTCAGTTTAACTAAACCCAGGTGAGACGCTGCCAGCAAACGTGCCGTGCCTGCAATCCAGACAGGACTGTTTACAGACAACTGATGTGAGAGCTTCCAGTTTTCCCTGGAAGGATTTCCAAGTATTTACTACAAAATGCCCTTGAATGTATTTATTTATCCAAATACCCTTTAATGGTGGATGCTGCTGCATCCATGAACAGCTTTGGAGGCTTTGCCAGAGCTTTCCCAGAAAGCTACATCAGAAGAGGCATTAATAGTGAACCAAGATGTCAGAAAGATATAAATAAAAAAATATTTTATTCTCCTGATTAACTCAAAACCATTTCTATACATGTAACAAAAAGAAGCTTATTAACCCACTGAATAGCAAACAGCAACAAAGTCTGTGAAAGAATTGAATACAGAAAGAATATTAATTGTTGACTAGATCTACCAATACTGATTTTAGGAAGAAAGAAATAAGCTGCTTTTGGTATCTTACGTCTCTCATGCATCACCCAGACAGAGAACATAAAGTAACCAAACGAAAATACATGCTTGTTTGTATTTGCAAGCATATATGGGAATGCTCTGCATTTTGAGATGTACATATTTTAAACTATTGTGATGGAAGCAAATTCATAAATCATGAAATTCTGCAAATAACTGAAATACGGATTTCTGCAAGACTTAGTAATTTTAGTGTCTGACAAGATCAGAAAAATGAAATTCAACACAATTCTGGCAGGCAGACAGCTTAATAAATGCGTGCCTGGACCTACCTGAAATACTCCACTCCAAGGAGATTCAAAGACAATGATAATGACTACAAAAGAGCTGCAGAGCGACAGCGATTTAGGTAAGAGGCCGTGGGCCTTTTAAGGTTTGTCACCGTGGCCTCTATTCGAACCAAGGCTGCACAATAAATTACTTTTGGTTTTGAACCCAGTCTGCAATGGTAAAACATAAAGACAAACTTGGACCTAGACGTTAATATCTGGGTTGCATGTATGGAGGGACGGCAGTTTGACCTACAGTTTAAACCAAACAGTGACCGACCTGACACGAGAGCAAGCTACTCAAGTAATGTAATCATGCGTAAAATTCAGCACGATTTTCAGTTTCAGCTATATTATAGAATCAATAGTGTATCCTGTTCTTGTAAAAGACCATATTGCAAAACTCCAGGGATGACTCATCTACTAACGTGTATATTTTTCTTGCATTTTCTTGCACATTTGCCAAATTGTTACTCCTTTGGAATATACAGCCTGTACTAGCCGGGAGGGAGGGAACCTGAGTGCTCTCCTTCGATGGAAGTTTGAGAAATTCTGCACCTGTAGTTTGTTGAACCTGCTGTATCTCAGTGTATTGCTTGTGGCCACATTTAGTCATGATTAACGTTCAGGTAGCAACTGCTAATGAGTTAAAATACTGTTATGAAATACTTACTTAGTATATTAGAATAAAATTTAGTAGCTAAATAATCAAGACTAGATTGCCAACAGTTTTTCTTCAGATCTTTGCAGGCAGAACTAACAGTATGAGCCATTACTCAACTCACGTGTCTTTTGCCTTTGCGTGCATCTTGTGGAACAAATACGTAGCAAGGGACTGACCCATCCAGACTAACAATCTCTATGATTCCAGTGAGCTTTATGAGCAGTCTTCTGTTACCAAAAATCTTCAAGAAAACCAGCTGGACCACCTGTTTCACTATACGCTTAATTGGAAAATATCTGCTTGGAAGATTCTTATTCTGTGGGTTTCAATAAATGCTACATTTTTAGTTACCGCATCCTTGTTACCTCCTCTGCCTGAATTTCCTTTTAAAATGCTTTCTTTCACATTGCCTGGCTGAAAGCACAAAACACAGTGTGGATCCAGCATAAGCATAGTTCAGCCTTGTGATAGCAGCAAATAGAATGTACACACTCTATACTATAAAATCCACTTTTTTCATTATTACTGACAAGTATGCTATATATAACTAAACTTCCTGGAATGCAGATTGTGCTTTTGGTTGGACAGGGAGGCTAGTTCAGACTCTTCTACACCATTTTAATTAGGAAACAAACTGCAACTTTATGAAGAATTTCTTGGGGTGCTTACCTAAATAACTCATTTCACAGGTAACATTCTCCTCGATTGTATCCATATAATTCTGCCTCAAAAGTTATAGCAGAAGAAATTACAGTTCCAGCCCATAATCACAAAGCAGTAAAAGATGAATACGCTCCAATTCTATTAACTGTTCCCCCCTTCTTCTCTGGAAAAGAAAAGAAAAAAGGAAAAGAGAAAAGAGAAAAGAGAAAAGACAAAAAAGAGAGAAGAGAAGAGAAGAGAAGAGAAGAGAAGAGAAGAGAAGAGAAGAGAAGAGAAGAGAAGAGAAGAGAAGAGAAGAGAAGAGAAGAGAAAAGAGGAGACCTTCTTTGCAAGTGAGAACATTTTGCATTAACATCAGACAAAGGAGGAAGCTGCATGTCACTGGAACAGAGCTTCCTCTTCTAGCTGAGATTTATTCAAGCACAGAACAGCTCGTGGAGGTCAAGAGAAGTGAGGCATTAGAGTTACTGTGCACCAAAGATACTATATTTTGCTAACCAGTTTAACTGCTTTTGCCTTTACCTTTTTTTTAGCTCAAGCTCACTTTTACTGGTGTTACCTGATAACTGGATTTCTTGCATTTTAGGATTCTGGATGCTTGTGCCACAATTATAGCAGAAAAGGGCTGTGAAACCTGCATGGATTTGGGAAGAAAACTATGGAATTAAATGTCTGTTTAACCTATGTTTTGACCTTTCTACCACAGGGAAACATTCATCCCCAGAAGAACTGACATTCAACCCAGAAGACCGCTGCAGTCTTCACTTTTATACACCAGAGTCCTCTTAATTAAGAAGACAGCATAACAGATAAGGAGCCATTTATTATGAGTAATGACAAACAGACAAGCATTGACAGAACAAAAAAGGGGGCCTTTCCCTATGAGGTCTTTTTCTTCCTAGCCTCACTACCTCCAGACTGAAAGAGAACACTGCTCTGCAAGTGAACACAGTATTTTAATCACTACAGAGAATGTTAAGGTTAGGGTTAATTAAAAACTTGAGTAAACATAGATTTAAATTAAGAATAATCTAAATTAGTATTGAGAATGTCTTTAGTTCTCAGAAGAGTGTCCTGCACAAACAAAATTTACTGTCACTGTAAATGCTTCCAGTAAGGCAAAGTGCAAGCTGTATTCACCCTTTTGGTAAGGGTGAGTACATGAACTCCCTATAGCCAGGCATAAATGTTAGCACTGGGAAACAAATTCTGCCAGCAGCAAGAAAAAACTTTTGTCATTTCGAAGCTCTTAGTTATACTAACCCCAGGATGCTGATGTTTATGACAGTTACTGTGCAAATATTTAGAAGCATTTAAAGTTATGAAGCAATTTAGATAGGGAATTGGGATTAAAATATATCTATACTATCACTGATAGGTACCCACCGTAGGCAGAGGGTAGCTTCCACTCCAACAACAAGAGAACAAATGCAGAAAGTGGCCAGAGTCAC